CATTGGTTAGAACTAGTCATATGGCCTTACCCAATTGCCAGAGTTATGGGGGGGGGATGGATATTTAATGAACTGTAAATGTCCCTGCCACAGATGGTATTAAATGCAAAAAACCAAGCACAATAGGGTGACATAGTGTTGTTTTAGAAAGGGTGGTGAAAGACCTCCACTATGAGAAAGTTATATTTAAGTAGTCACAAAGGGAGTGAGGAAATGGGGGAAAGTGTTCTAAGCCTGAATAAACCAAGAAATAGCAAGGAAGCCTGGTAGCTAGAGCAAAGCAAGTAGGGGACAACAGGAAATAAGAGGCTACATCATGGAGGACTTGATAGGCATGAACTTTGGATTTTATTCTGAATTGGGATAATATTGGAGGTTTACATAATTGGACTTAAGTTTTAAAAAATCACTCTGGTGATTGTGTAGAGAAAAGATCGTAGGAGGCAAGGATGGAAGTCAGGAGACAGATACAGTAATCATTCATGTGGGAAGTCACAGGGCTGGGCTGGGATATAGCACTCCTGGATGGTGTTTACCATTCTCTCCTCAAACCACCAACACCCCTTTCCCTGTCTTCACTCTCAACTTCTTATTTTATTAAACTAGGAACAATTGGAAAAGAAATTCTTTTTTTTTTTTTAAAAAAAAATTATTGAGAAAGAGCATATGTGAGTGGGGGAAGGACAGAGGGAGAGGGAGAGAGAGTCTCAAGTAGACTCCACACTGAGCACAAAGCCCCATGGGGGGGCCCCGATCCCAGGACCTGAGATCATGACCCGAGCTGATATCAAGTCAGATGCTCAAGCGTACCAAGCTATCTGTATCTGTGTCTTCCCACTTCCCTTGCTCATCTAACTATGGATGACCCTTCCAGCCAACTCAAGGATTTCCTTCCTACAGTTGTCACACTCCTGCATTGATATTTTCTCATCACTGGACCATTTCTAATAGTGTATAAATATTTAAACAAAACCTAACCCCCACATCTCCTGCCTGCTGTTGTTCCATTCCTCTGCTCGTCTTTGCAGCAAAAGGAAATCTGGTTGTTGTCACCATTTACTATCTCTGCAATAAGGCTTGTATCCCTACCACTTTATTTTAATTGCTCTGTTCTCAAGTTTTCAAAGATCTCTCCGCTGCTAAATCCAAAGGTCAGTTCTCATTTTACTCAACTTCTCAACAGCAAATGAAATGACACACTGAGGCACTTCCTTCTCCCTAAAACATTTTCTTCACTTAGGCTTTAGAACTCCTCTATTTCATTTCCTTTGGCTGCTCCTGCTATGTTTCCTTTGCTAGTCTTCCCATCTCCGAAGTGCTGCATGAGCAGCCTTTGGATCCTTTATTTCCCCTGCAATTATGCAATTAATGTACTTGGTCAGCAACTTTCAGTGATTTTCAAACTGTAAGGCCATACTGTTACTTGGTTAAAAAATCAGTTGAGTTGGGAGAAGTTTTAAAAAATGGAACAGCATAAAGTGGAAAAGGAAACAGTGAATTATAGGGAGGGTAGATTTGCTTTTTGAAAAATTTAAGGTATCTACATGTATTTGGTCAGTATGGAAAATGTATTTTGTATCCTGGGTTGAGATCAGAGGTATGAAAGTTACTGCTCTGTGTGATCTCATTCAATCTTGTGGCTTTAAATACCATCGACCAATCAATTTATATCTCTATAGCTCCCCTCAGAATTTCATTGTCTTCTGTGCAGTTGCTAACTGTACACCTCTATTTGGATGGCTAATAAGCAGGTCAGATTTAGCGTGTCCGAAATCAAATTCTTGATTTTTTTCTCCCAGCCTGCACATATCCTTTTTTGACTTTAAAAAATAAAAGTCAGTTATTGTACCAGCAAAAATGAATTTATTTGGGAATAGCAGAGAATTGCAATTCAGGAGAAGCAAGGTATAGCAAAAACCTTAGGGTAGTCTAACAAAAGAGAGGAACATTATTTTATGGAGATGAAGGAGGAAGTTGGGAGGGTTTTTTTTGAACAAAAGTCCATTGCAGAAAAGCAAGAATTCAGGGTGATGAGGGTTTCTGATTGGCTGAACTGCTGGCATAGTCAATTTCTTATAGGAGATGCACTGTACATCTTTTCCTATTGGGACCTGTAACTGATGATTCTTTCCTGTTATCCTTTCTTCTCTTGAGGGGTAATCGATAATTCTTCAGTAATTGACGGGGAGTGGTATGGCACAAGAGCTCCCTCTTCTGGCCTCCCAACTCCATTTTAGTGAGGTTTCCCTTTATTAATTTTCACACCCTTCTCCATCTAAGTAAATGACAGTTCCATTCTTTTGGTTGTACAGGCCAAAAACCTTGGAGTCATCCTTCACTCTGTTCTTTTACAAATACCTCTAATCAATCTGAATATCCTATTGGCTCTACTTTTGAAATATGACAAATACTATGTGAAGCAAGACTGTCATTTAGCATAGCATAGGAAGGCCAAAATCAAGATAGAATATACAGCTATAGTGAAATCACATTTTTATGGTTATTAATAAAAAGGAAAAGACATTTAGACTTGGAATCAGGAGACATAAATATGAGGCTGGCTCTACCACATCATAGCTTTGTAACACCTTAGCAGGTTATTATCCACCTCTTTCTCTGTTTGCAAGTCTCCTGTTATTCCTTACATTCATCACTCTAGTGAGAACCCTAGTATATCCACTGTGTTGGATCATATGCTGTTATAGAGTCTTATATAACTATAGTATATCTTATCCTACCTACCAATGCATTTTGTTTGCAACAAAACCCTAACTGAAAAACTAGGTAGGTTCAGCCATTTGGTGGTGACTTCTTTCTTTCCCACAAACTCTAGGAGAGGGTAGGCAATTTTCTTATGTGGGCTGAGGCAGTGGACAGTATACTAGGAGTCGCCACCACCACAAACGGGATGTAGAATTAACCTGCTGCCATAAGGCCAGTGCTCCCCTTGGAGTGAAGACCTGGTCACCCATGAGCAATTCCCTTATTGGTAGCCTTCCATTCTAAATGCAAAGCTTTCTTTGTCATTGTGCTTAGTTTCCCTGCTGGTAATGCTCAACTCCAGTCCAGGTGGCAAGAGTCCAGACCCTGGACCTGAACCCTTTCAATCCATCAGTTGCCTTTCCCTAAGGACTCTGACCTCCTATATATCACTACCGTCTTGCCAAAGGTCATATATGGTTAACATTTATTGAGGACTGTATGTATTGGGCACTTTAAAGTGCTGTGCCAGCATTATTTCATTTCATCTTCATAACTGTTCAGTAGCTACTTTCTTTTAAGTAGATGAAGAGGTTCAGAAATGTTAAGTAAATTGCTTAGATAGAAATGACTGAGTCAGGACTCACCTTGCATTGTCTCCATGCATACTGCCTAACTTACAGACCCCTCTGGATATGTGAATAGTCTTTGCCACTTCCTACAGATTCACAAGCCATAGATTAGCCAATATTTTTGCTTCTCAGGCATGGTCTAGGCATAAGGTATACCAGTGAAAGATACTATTCCTGCCTTTAAGGAACATCTGCTGCCAGGAGCAGCAGAAAAAGTCAACAGGTTGTGGCAGCTGGCCTTGTAACCTATTTTCCGTAGTAAAAGATGAGTGTGGAGAAAACTCATCACTATATTTTCTTCTCTTTGTAATGTTGCATTTTAGGTGTGTTAATGAAGAGGATGTTTGACCTTGCACAGACCTGAAAGATATTTTGAGCCCACTGTTTTGACCCTGTCAGTTTGCTCTTAGCCATGTATGCAACATGATCAGGATTGTATGGAGGAATTAATTATACAATAGATCACTCCTGGACAACAGAACAATTCTGGAATATTTGAAGGTATCAGCTCACAATTCTCTCATGAATTTACTAAGAAATAGTACAAATTAGTCTTTTATGCAATTTATAATGACTATTATGGGAGAAATTGGCAGTGGCTGAAACTTCTGTAAAGTCTGATGGAGGAAAACGACTTAGTAGAAATAGTTACTAAAAACAAGTATCAGCTATAATCAGTAAAGTTTGATGTGGACAAAACCTGAATGCTGAATCAAATATTTATTTAGGTCTGTTTGTATTTACACATACAAAGACTAATTCTCATGAAAATCATAATATATAATTTAAAATAAAAGTTGGAAGTCCCATAAGCCTTCCTCACACCCATTCCAGGATGGGAGTCGGGGTGGGGTAGGCTGTGGAATAGCCATTCACTCCAGATTAGGGAGCGAAAGTAAACAGAACTGTTCCTTAAGGTAAACAAACGCTCCGCCTTCGTTTGCTACCCTTAAGTAAGGAAGTATTTCCATTTTTTTCTCCCAAGTTCAGCATCAGAATACCTGACCGAATTCCCTTCTCCTTTCAAAGCACTAATAATATAAGTGGTCAGGCCCGGGGCTCACAAAGGGATGAAGCAGTAACGGTGGGGGTCTTTCCTCTTCCGCGGCCGGATTGCTTGGGACCCGTCCCCTCTCGCCTCTGCACAGACCGCCAGGACCAGGGAGGCGAAAGGACCGCGGCGCTGCGGCCGCTCGCCCACCCCTTAGCACGCCGCCGTTGCCAGGCAACACCTCCACAACCTCCGCCCCCGGGCGGACACGTGACGCGCACGTCACGTGACGGGACGGCGTCCTCCCGCGGAGGGGTGTAAACAGGCCGGGTGGCGGCCGAGCTGCGGGCCTGCTGCATCCTGGTGTCCGGCATGCTTCAGGCGGGCCGGGGTGGCCCAGCCGCGAGCTCAGCGCCCACCTGAGGTAACTCCTGCGGCCTCAGGACGGGCGTACCTCACGCCGCTTGCAGTCGCTGCTGCTCGCCGCCGACAAGGCCGGCTGAGCCCCCTGCCCCGGCAGGGGGTGTGGCTGCCGGCTGTGCAGTGCGCGACAGGTGGGTTGGGAGTGGGCGGCCACCGAGGCCAGGGCTCTGCAGCGCCCTGGGTCGCGGCCCTGGCGTGGAGCCGGCCGAAAGGCGGCAGCGAGCCCGGGTTGTGGGCCCTTCCGTTCCGGCTGCTCCAGGCTTGCCCCCGAGGCCGGGCCGGGCCGAGCCGGGGGCCGCAGGATCCGTCGGGCTCTGAGGGCCTGGGGCTGCCAGCGTGGAGTCCCAGTTGAAGTCCGGCCCTTGCGGGCTGTGAGACCTTGGGCAGGCCAGCCTCAGCCCTGGCCCTGGCCTCAGTTTCCACATCTGTAACGAATGTCTGGACTAGGTGATCTTTGAGGACCTTCCACTTTTGACGTGTGTAATCTCGAGAGAGACCTGTATACTTTGGACGCTGCCAGAGGGAAAGCTTAGGTAGATATTTGTCTTTTAATTGCTAAGTTCCTGTTTGTCTTTAAATTTTTCATCTGACACGATTTGGATTCTTGTTCACCTGGGTGAAGTTTTTAATAGAAAACTTTTATACAAAGTAATGGTTTATGTTGCTGTTTTTTTCAGGCTTTTCTGATACAACGAAACCTTTCTTAGAACTTCCTTTGGAAGTCCAATTAATTAAAAAAAAAAAAGAAAGAAAGAAAAAATCAAAACCTCTGTCTGCCTCCCGGTCTTCCTGCTCTACTGCAATACCCCTAAGGGCCCCCAGGGATCACAGGTTGAGAAGCACTGTTACACTGTTGAGGTGTTCTGTGTTTGTTAATTTGACAGGCTCTGGAAGATGAATCTTTTGCTTACGTGGAGTTTTCTATTATTTTTCCTTCAACTTTGTTCGACCGTATGTCATACAATTAGAGAGACAATTAGTATATTTTGCAGATAGACTTGGAAAAGACCCCCAAATTTCCGATGGACCTGTTTCCATCTTTTCTTGCATTCCGGGCCCAAGGGATGTGAGTGTATGTTTATAACAGTGAGACTTAATGCTCATTGCTGGCCTAGTTGCTCAGGTATAGAATGGGAGTGGAAGACTTTTTGCAAGACTTATTTAGACCCAACTGAATGGATTAGGACATTTCCTCCGAAAAATACATAAGTTGGGAAAGTACATGACTTAAAATTGTTAGAGCCATGGAATAACATGATCATATCACAAATTTTGAAACTCTGGGTCTTGAGAGAACTGGGTTTAGGAGAAAAGGAGGTTCTGTTTCATATAGTGAGTGAATGTATAAACAATATGAAGTGGTCTGTAGACCAAGAATTATCAGGATGATTTTTTTTTTTTTAAGAGAAATGCTTAGTTTCCTGGTTTGTTTTCAAAGACTAGGGTTGATAAGAGATTTACTGAAACTTGGAAGTTTGATACTGAAAGAGGAAAACCATAGCCTTTTACAGCTCGTCCACTTGGTGCTTCTGTGAGGTGAGCCAGAATCAGAGGTTGAAAGGACTATGAACGGAACCCAAGGAGACCTAGTGGATATGTTTTCTCTTTTTAAAGTAACTCATTTCCTTAATCTTTGGTGTAGGTTTGGGTTAAGTCACCTCTTTTCTTTAGGTCTCAGTTTCTGCTACAAAGTGAGGAAATTGGATTGATTACTGCTCCATTTGTTGGCTTCAGTTAGGGTTGCCAGATAAAGTACAGATAACTTAGTTTAAATTTGAATTTCAGGTTAACGGTGAAAAAGTTTTTAGTATAAATATTGCATAAGGCATGCATTATTTACTTTTTTTATTTTATTTTTTATTTTTTTAAAGATTTTATTTATTTATTTGA